AACAATCCAAAAATTCATTTGGAACCAGAAGAGACCTAGAATAGCAAAAGCAATTCTAGGCAACAGAGATATGGCTGGGGGTATTACAATCCCCACCTTGAAATTATACTATAAAGCTACTGTGATTAAAAACAGCATGCTACTGGCAAAGGAACAGGCCCGAGGATCAGATGAATAGATTAGAAGATGCAGAAACAACTACAGATATACTCAGCCACCTCATCTTTGACAAAGGAGCCACCTATCATCATTGGAGGAAAGATAGCCTATTTAATAAATGGTGTTGGAAAAACTGGATTTCACCCTGCCAGAGATTAAAACTAGATCCATATCTATCACCATGCACTAAACTAAGATTGAAGTGGATTAAAGATCTAAATATTAAGACAGAAATTAAATTTGCTGGAAGATAAGTTAGGTAGAATTCTTGAAGGCACTGGCATAGGAAAAGACTTTATGAACAAAACCTCAGTAGCACAGGAACTAGCACAAAGAATCATCAACTGGGATCTCATCTTATTCAAAAGCTTCTGCACTGCAAGAGAAACTACCAACAGAGCTAACAGGCAACCTACAATGTGGAAGTGGCCTATATGTCCATCAATAGATGAATGGATAAAGAAAATGTATTTTTCAGTTGTCAGCTCACCCTCCTCGCTGGGCTGTGGGTATCCCCGAGGCGGGAGGAGCCCATGGGGGCACAGGCCTGCATGTTTCAGAAGCCGGCTCTTCCACTCCTCCCCTGGGGCAAGGCTCACCTCTGCCAGACCTTCCTTCCCAAGGGATTTCACATTGGAAGACATGGATGCTATTGCTAATGAGCTCAGCATCTATGACAAACTTTTGGAGACTGTTGACTTGGTGCGGCAGACTGGCCAGCAGTGTGGCATGTCAGAGAAGGCCATCGAGAAGTTCATCAGGCAGCTGCTGGAAAAGAATGAGCCCCAGCGGGGGCCCCCCCAGTACCCCATGCTTATCACTGTGTACAAGGTGCTCCTGACCCTGACCTTAGTCTTGCTCACTACCTACTTTGTGATCCAGCCTTTCAGCCCGCTAGCACCAGAGCCTGCGCTCTCCGGGGCTCATAGCTGGCGCACGCTCATCCACCACAACCGCCTCATGTCCTTACCTATCACCAAGAAATACCTGCCGGAGAGCAAGGGCCCTGTCCTGCCCACCGAGGAGGACAGACACTTCGCAGACCTCGACCCCTGGTGGCCCTACAACTGTGAGCACAACGAGTCGGAGCAAGTCCCTGCCAACTGCACTGTGTGCGCCCACCATCTGCCCCTCGAGGTGATGCTCCCGGAGGACACCCTGAGGATGTTCGACAGCCTGCGGCAGCTGGTGATCAAAACAGGACAGCCTCTGCTGACCGAGGAGATCCAGCGCTTCCTGTGCCAGTACCCAGAGGCTGCGGAAGGCTTCCCGGAAGGCTTGCTTGCCAAGTGGCAGCGTTGCTTTCCTGAGCAGTGGTTCCCGTTTCCTTACCCGTGGAGGAGACCTCTGAACAGATCACAAATTTTACATGAACTTTTTCCTGTTTTTACCCACCTCTCATTTCCAAAAGATGCCTCCTTAAAAAAGTGCTTCCTTCTTCACCCGGAACCTGTTATGGGGAGTAAGATGTATAAACTGCATGACCTGTTTGTAGTAGGCAGTGGCGAGGCCCTGTTGCAGCTCATCCAGCCCTTCCATTGCCGGCGACACTGTCAGTCCGTGGCCATGCCAGTCGAGGCAGGGGACATCGGCTACACCAGCGCCGCCCACTGGAAGGCCTACATCATAGCCAGAGGGGTCCAGCCTTTGGTCATCTGCGACGGAACCACGCTCTCAGAACTGTAGGCACCAGGACTACCTACCTATGGAGTGAGTCTGAGACCTGAAAGGCAGGTTGATAGAGAAGAAATAAAAACAAACAATGAAACCACAAAAAAAAAAAAAAAAAGAAAATGTATTTTCATACAATGGACTACTACTCTGTCATAAAGAAGGATAAATTTGGGGTGTTCTGCTCTAGCGGCAGCGGCGGCGGCAGGACGCGGAGCCTCCCCCGGGACTTGGCCTCAGCAACGAGGTGGCGGTGGCTGCGGAGGCTCAGGCAGCAGCTGAGGCGGCAGCGGTCTCAGGTGCAGCCGCTGAGTGAAGACCTAGTCCAGAAAGGGAAGTGTAAAGCTCCAGGTATGGGCTCCCTGCTGGATGGGTGTGCTCCATGGCCAACTTTTAACCTTCTTGCATGAGGCCTGCTGTGCAGACATGAAAAGTTGCTTTCAGAAAGCTCAAAGAAGATGAACGGCACCCTGGACCACTCAGACCAACCGGATCTTGATGCTATCAAGATGTTTGTGGGCCAGGTTCCCAGGACCTGGTCTGAGAAGGACTTGAGAGAACTCTTCGAACAGTATGGTGCTGTCTATGAAATCAACGTCCTAAGGGATAGGAGCCAAAACCCTCCTCAGAGCAAAGGGTGCTGTTCTGTTACATTTTACACCCGTAAAGCTGCATTAGAAGCACAGAACGCTCTTCACAACATGAAAGTCCTCCCTGGGATGCATCATCCTATACAGATGAAACCTGCTGACAGCGAGAAGAACAATGCAGTGGAAGACAGGAAGCTGTTTATTGGTATGATTTCCGAGAAGTGCACTGAAAATGACATCCGAGTCATGTTCTCTTCATTTGGACAGATTGAAGAGTACCGGATATTGCGGGGACCTGATGGCCTGAGCCGAGGTTGTGCATTTGTGACTTTTACAACAAGAGGCATGGCACAGACAGCTATCAAGGCAATGCACCAAGCACAGACCATGGAGGGCTGCTCGTCCCCCATGGTGGTGAAGTTTGCTGATACGCAGAAGGACAAAGAGCAGAAGAGAATGGCCCGGCAGCTCCAGCAGCAGATGCAGCAGATCAGCGCAGCATCCGTGTGGGGGAACCTTGCTGGGCTGAACACTCTCAGACCGCAGTACTTAGCACTCCTTCAGCAGATTGCCTCCTCTGGGACCCTCAACACCCTGAGCAGCCTCCACCCGATGGGAGAGCTCAATGCGATGCAGTTACAGAATTTGGCTGCACTGGCTGCTGCAGCTAGCGCAGCTCAAAACACACCCAGTGGTACCAATGCTCTCGCTACATCCAGCAGTCCCCTCAGCATCCTTGCCAGTTCAGGGTCCTCACCCAGCTCCAGCAGCAGTAACTCTGTCAACCCCATAGCCTCACTTGGAGCCCTGCAGACACTTGCTGGAGCAACAGCTGGCCTTAACGTCGGCTCTTTGGCAGGGATGGCTGCTTTAAATGGTGGCCTTGGCAACAGTGGCCTTTCAAATGGCACCAGTAGCACCATGGAAGCCCTCACCCAGGCCTACTCTGGTATCCAGCAATACACTGCGGCTGCGCTCCCCACCCTGTACAACCAAAATCTGTTGACACAGCAGAGTATTGGTGCTGCTGGAAGCCAAAAGGAAGGTCCACAGGGAGCCAACCTGTTCATCTACCACCTCCCCCAGGAGTTCGGAGATCAGGACCTGCTGCAGATGTTTGTGCCCTTTGGGAATGTTGTGTCTGCCAAGGTTTTTATAGATAAGCAGACAAACCTGAGCAAGTGTTTCAGTTTCGTGAGTTATGACAATCCACTTTCAGCTCAAGCTGCCATCCAGTCCGTGAATGGCTTTCAGATTGGCATGAAGCAGCTCAAAGTGCAGCTCAAGCGTTCTTCGAAGAATGACAACAAGCCCTACTGAGTGCCCCCCTCTGAGACTGGAGAGGGTCTTCTGATTCCTGCCGTTTGTTCATTGTTGTGCCTAAAGCATGTCGATGTGGCGTCAAGTACATCGTCCAAATCCCTGTCTCTTCAGCTTCTCTGATGCTTGAACTCTCACCTTTGACCTTGTGTTGATCTTTGATGCTGATGTGTATTTTTTATTATGTTTGTTTCTTTCTTTGTTTTTTCTTTCCTTTTTTTTTTTCTTTTCCTTTTTGTGCTGCCAAAATTGGTTTTGCTAGAATGACTGCTGAAGGGGAAATATTTAAACTTGCATTTGAATACAAAAATCTATTTTTCTAGAACTTCATAAGATAACCACTTGATTTTGTGATTCCAATTCTTTGTAATTGTCTTCAGAGTAGCCCTACTAGCACATACCGCGTGGTGTTTGTGTTTCTGTGAACACACAGCCGGTCTGTTTCTAGGCTTTGTTTCTGTGTGCTTAGTTTTAAAGACAACTTTGAAGTAAATAATGAAATAAAGGGTGTCACTAAACCTTTGAGGCTCCTGAGCACATTTTGCTGATACAGTTTGTGGGGCTTGAGGAGACCACATGTGTTGTTCTTATTTTTGTTTTTCTGAGTTCTTGACTGCAGAACACACCTGAACCCTCTCTTTGACAGCAGGCTGCAGTTTGGGCCCCAGCTATCCCTTTCACTTTTCTTCTGTGGTCTTCCTTGGGGTGACCCTGTTGGGCGCCCAGGACCTCTCCGGCCCATCCCTCAGCCTGCGGCTCACCTCCGTGCTTGTGCTACAGTCTCCACAGCAAAATGTGATGCTTTGATTTTTTTTGTTTTTGTATTGTTTTTGTTTTTATTTTGAATATTTTGCCCACTAAGATCATGCTCAGAAAAAACTAGTTTTGCATGTTTCCTGCTATTTCTTCACACCTTCGTATATATCACCTTCACCTCTCTGTTTTCTATAGTTTGTGCAAAAACTGACTGATTTAAAAGGGTTTCAAAGAAGCTGTTTTAAATTGTTGTGGGTTTGGTTATTTTTTTCAAGATAATATTGTTTTATTTTGAAGTGGCAACTTTCTCCTTATTGCCCATGGAGCGTGTGCCTGTGCACTTAGACTGTCACCTCGTGTGGCGTCAGGTCTGAGCAGGGTACCCAGGGTGCCCGGGAACTGGGCCGCTCCCCAGAGGGGAGGGGAGGGAGTGGCAGGGAAGCGGAGACAGAGCCTGCCGGCCAAGGGGCACAGGGGCACAGGAGGCCTAGCGCAGGACCAGCACCCAGCAAGGAGGGCGCTCTACACCTGCCCACGCTTTCCTGGGCCACAAGCACAATACCACAGTCTGCACACTGTTTACAGCCCTGAGCACCGCCCACCCCGCTCGCCGGCTCTTCCTGGCTCTGCTCTGCTGGCTACTGCGGTGGGGGCCAGGGCGGGGACACGTTTTCTTAATTGGGTGAAGAGCCACATAGCTGCTGTCCCTGGGTGCCAGGCCAGCCAGTACTTTGGCTCCCCGAAGGGAACTTCCCCTCTTCTCGTGTGGCACCGTCCACCATCCAGCCTCGGGGTCTAGGGGACTTGAGGAAGAATGTGAATGAAGGGGGAGAGGCCAGAGAGAAGAGAAGGCAAGATGGTCTGAGGAGGAAGAGGGAGCAGGAGAGGTGTTGGTGGCAGGACCTCCCCAGGCCTAAGTGCTGGGGACGGGACCGCCAGGGAGGAGGGTGCAGGAGTGCTGAGGGACGGGTCGGGTAGAAGCACTGGTCAGCACCGTGCACGCTAGGCTGGAGAGGGGTGTCCGCGGCAGGCTACCAGGCCATGCTGGAGGCCACTCCTCCTGGCAGGAGGGGCAGCCGGCCCCGGTGTCCACCAGGCTCAGCAATTCCTGGGGAGATGGGTGGGGAGAGCCAGGCCTGGCCCAGTACCCACCGCGCCCACAGTCTGACTGCACAGAGCCACCTCGAGGCAGGGGCGCCAAGGCTGCCTCCCTGGGATTGAGAAATTGTGCTTGCCAATATATTTTGCTTTCAATTCCAAGAGGAGCCCTGGGAAAACCTGTGGATAAAACCAAATGCCAAATGTTGGACGTTGTTTCCTTTTCCTTTTCTCTCTCTGATTGTTTTAATTGTTCTGTGGTGGTTTTAATGGATTTGAGACCCTGGAGCGGCAGCTGCCTTTCTGATTTCCGGCTGCTTTTTGTGAATAATTTAAAAAGAAAAAAAAAAGAAACTTTACATTTTGGAGACAAACCTGTGTGAGTTTTTTATTGGTACAAACGTTGTATTTAACACTAGGGGTTTTGTACAGTTTTTTGCCTTTTCTACTAGAAAACAATGTAAAGTGATTTCACAATGTGAAGAGAAAAAAAATTGCCACTATGACCAAACGCACAGTCTGTTCTTTAGCAACAACGGGATTCAATCAACTCAAGTCGAGATTCAGCCCTAGAAACGCTTTTCCTTGGCCTTGTTCGAGCTTTCCTTTCTTTCCTGTTTTGATTTGCAAAAGAAAATGTCTTTTTTATGTGAACTTATGTTGTACTCTGTAGAAAATTATGGATTTTATTTTAATGGTTAAAAAAAAGGTAAGAAAAGCCTTTGTTGCTTTTCTCACCCAATCACAGTTTGTGTAGTGGATTAAAAAAGAAAAAAATTGTTACCAGTTTGGAGCAAGGGAGTATGTGTTTCAAAGGACTCGCCTTCCTTTTTTGTGTGTTTTTCCTTTTGTCCCAATGGGAAACCTAAATCTGTTTTAATTGCACAGACACACAGACAAAAA